GGTGACATTTTTTTAAGGGAGTTGAGATTTAGCTATTAACATTTGAATGCCATTAACAGACATTTCAGCATTAAAAAAAACCTCCAAAGCTGTTAGCTGTACATTGTCCCTTGAGAGACTTTTCTTGGAAAGGGACTCTTTAGTAAAGAAAGAATTCTGCAAGTCTGAGTTCTCTCACTTAACATGTTGCTGAGTATAGCATTGCATGCTAAAGAAGCTGGAATCATTTTGATCAGGCTGGATGAACTTGCGGCAAATCTTGTAAACTGCTTTTGGTTCCTAGGATGTTTAAACACAGAGAAACACTAAGTTTGCCTATCTGCACAGCTTTGTTAGAGTTGAGACATTGCTGGTAACTTTCCTTTGTGATCAGATACGGTCATTAAGATGGTTTTGGTTTTTAGATATAGGCAGTGGTCACAAAGCTAGACTTTTCACAGCCGTGATAGACCAAACTAAAAGTTTATCGATAACATAGTTTATAGGGCACTTGTTTAATCTTGCTTATAAATATTTTACAAATTTTGTGCTTCCATTTTATAAGTTGTACTCTATAACAGGCATTAATAGAATGGGGAGGGGGTGTTTTATTTCTGGTATGTGTTAAACCACCAAAACTCTTTGATGAGAAATTCCTAGCAACAGTTTGTATAGAAGTTTGCACAGTTGTAGATAGGTTTTAGAGAATTCCATCCTACCTAAAACTTCATGGGAATGAGTTTGAAATATTACGAGGAAGTAAAGAGCTCCAAATATTTTTCACTGATAATTTCTAGAAAAATTATTCATTTGTGACTAATTTGTTTAGGTAGAGGAACCGGGAACTTTTTTTAAAAATTCTTTCACCAAGGAGATTTGAGATATTGTGATTATTTTTTAACCTGGTATGTTATTCCAAACATGATTTAACAGTTAAGACACAGTGCCTGAATGTAGGTCTAATCGATGAGTTTTATATGATATTTTGATATGTTATACCAAGCATCCCTGTGGAGGTCTTTGTAGTTGCCACCAACTACTAGGGAACAAAAGAAGTGGTCTCTATATTTAGCCAGTCTCCTACTAGAAAGACAGGAATCTACCTTGAGAAGTCTCCCTATCCTCTTGCAGTGCCTGTGTTGGCACAAAGCAAAGTGGTTTTTGCTAAAGAAAAGAGGAAATTGATCCTTAGTTGCAAACCCCACCTTAACCTTTGCTAAGCATGAACCTCATTGCTTTCTCTTTAATGTAGTGAAGCTGGATGTCAAAATGGTGCCAACCAGGATTTTGTTTGCTCTCTTCTAGATATGGGTTTGTGGAGTTTGATGATCTGCGTGATGCAGATGATGCTGTTTATGAACTGAATGGCAAAGACCTTTGTGGTGAGCGAGTAATTGTTGAGCATGCCCGCGGCCCACGTCGAGATGGCAGTTACGGTTCTGGACGCAGTAAGCATTTAAAGGGCATTTGTATCAATGACATGCCTTTGTTATTAAGTGTTCATTTTTTTAAGTAATTAATTAATGTTACATTGAAATGTATTGATATTTAAGCCATTTGCTTTTTAAATATGTATCTTTTAAATGTAAAATTGCAAATAAACATCTTTGATAATGTTTAATTTTAATTAAATTAATGGCATAAATTTCTTGTTTTAATACTTTATAAATATGTTTAATGATGTGTGTTTGTGTTGTTTTTTTCTCTGTAATGCAATTGTTTAACATAGATTTAACAAAGACCTCAATGTTTTAATTAAAAGAATCCTTTGAGGCTAAGATGACTGCCTGTTCCATTTGCTGACCTTGGGTTACCTTTCCATGCGTGGCTCTTTGAACCATTGTGGCCCTTGGCTGACCAAAAACAGGAAGCCATGTGACGACCGCAACCTTTCCCCATTAGACCTGGGTGGTGAGGATCCCAAGGGTTAGACACAGATGAGATTAAACTGAAATAGGTGCCTGAAAATCTTTTTTTTATATATATATATAAAATATTCACAAAAACTTTAATCACTGTGAGTAACACCAGTAACTGATTTAGTAATTTGGTTACTTATTTCTAAATTGTTAAATTGTTAATAGTTTTTAATTTATGCATGTTAATTTTAAATATAAATATTAATGAACATATATACTTACAACTTTGTAAACTGAATTAAATTTTTATGTTTAGTTGATTGCTTTTTTAAATCTAGTTTGGATTTGAGGGTGGGGATACAGTTAAAATATATGTGCTATTTGGGGTGGGGGTGAATGGTATATTTAAGGGAAATATGTGCTATATCATTTTTTTCCTTTTCCTCCACTGAAGTAATCTTGTCTATTTGAACCTTCCAAAGGTGGATATGGTTATAGAAGAAGTGGGCGAGATAAATATGGCCCTCCTACCCGCACAGAATACAGACTTATTGTGGAAAATTTGTCAAGTCGGTGCAGCTGGCAAGACCTAAAGGTTTGGACTCTGTTAACCTCCTGGGATAAGGTTGGGCCGGCGTTAGGTTGGGACAGGTCATTTTATGCAGGCCCAGGTGTACACAGGATGCTTGATGTTATATGTTTGAGAGCTTGCCCAAAGCATTCAGAAATTCTCCAATTAAAGTTTCCACAGTAGTACAGAGGATGTCAGAATCTCCCCCCTACTGTATGTTAGGGGACTGACTATTTATTACTCTAAAGACAATCTATGTTATATGAAATTTTCCTCCATAGAGAATGTTATAGAACAGCAATTTTCAACCTTTTTCATCTTATGGCACATAAAACTATATATTTGCCGATCTCACAAAGAAAATAGGTGTAATTTTGATTCGTTTATCTCAGACAGCTATTGTTGTGTTGGCTGTTATTTTTTTTGACAATCTAAGGGAAAAGAGGTCAGTGCCCCTGATTAAATAGTCATGTATTGCATGTTTTAAAAATTATTGCAGCACACTGATTGAAAATCACTGTTATAGAGAGATACTTTTGTAGTGTTTTGTTTGTTTTTTTTCAATTAAAGAAAAAGTTACAACCATCAGTGTGTTCTGCATCATTAGCTATAATATGCAAGTTTATGTCAACTTCCAGTGTAGATCCTCTTTGGTAAAAATGGCTATCTGGCCCGGCCGGGCGTGGCTCAGCGGTTGAGCATCGACCTAGGATCCAGGTGATCGAGGTTCAATTCCCGGTCAGGGCACATGCCCGGGTTGCGGGCTCGATCAATGACTCTCTCATCATTGATGTTTCTCTCTCTGTCTCTCTCTCTCTCTCTCCCTCTCCTTTCCTCTCTCTGAAATCAATAAAGATATATATATATATATATATATTTTTTTTTTTTTTAAATGACTATCTGACATTTGTTTTTCATGAAATATTTATCCTGAAAAGATTTTGTTTTTTGTGTTTTTTAAAAAATATATCTTTATTGATTTCAGAGAGAGGGAGGGGAGAGAGAGTTAGAAACATCAGTGATGAGAGACTCATTGATCTGCTGCCTCCTGTATGCACCCAACTGGAGATCGAGCCTGCAACCCAGGCATGTGCCCTGACCACTAATCAAACCGCTATCTCTTAGATCCTAGGTCAATGCTCAACCGCTGAGCCACGCCAGCCAGGCTATCCTGAAAAAGTTTGAATGTCAAAAAATTAAGGTCTAGTGCTGTACTGACTATCCAGGGTACTGAGCCCAGCTCATTCTTTTTAAGAACAGTGTGCATTTTTAGTCTCGATAGGGAGGAAAAGCTTATTGAGTGGTGTCTTAACCTGTGTGGTCTTTAGGAGGAGAAAGGTAAGAGTTTTCAGAATTTCCTGTCTTCTTATTTTTAGTCCATCATTAAACAAGTCATCTCTAGCAAAGTGAGTGGAGTATGTTTAGGCTCAGCAAAAGTCCTAACCTAAATGTAATGATATGAGCTTCTTACGCTTCTATAAACAAAGAATATGCTAGTATAAAATTTAGAAAGTGACAGTTAAACTAAAAAATTTTGTATTCACACATAACTTTATTTAAAAGAACAGTTAAATATTAATTATCTCTACCACCTACCTAACGCCTGATGCTTAAAGAACCTCAGTAAATGATTTGTGTGTAGATGTAAAGATGTAAGTCTTTTAAGGATAAACTTTATTCTGAGGAAAGCTAGCATGCATTTCTAAAAGAAAAGAAAAACTTTTATTACTGTGATTGCATCAACTACTTTAACAAGATGTGTCTTGGCCTGATCAGCAGTTTTCGTTTTCAGGATTATATGCGTCAGGCAGGAGAAGTGACGTATGCAGATGCTCACAAGGGACGCAAAAATGAAGGGGTGATTGAATTTGTGTCTTACTCCGATATGAAAAGAGCTTTGGAAAAGTTAGATGGAACTGAAGTCAATGGCAGAAAAATCCGATTAGTCGAAGACAAGCCTGGTTCTAGACGGCGCCGGTCCTACTCCAGGAGCCGGAGTCACTCCAGGTACTGTTGACATTTTTATGTGTTGGAGTTCACCGTAAATTCACTGATGAGTACATAGATGATCCATTTTTGTTCTGTTGAATTCTCAGTAACATGGTTGGGTCTGGTTCAATAACTCAGAAGTTTGAACTGAATATTTATTTGTAAAGCTCTTGAACTCTTATGTCGTGAGTACAAATGGAAGGAAGTAAAGTCCTTTTTCTGAGGCAGGAATCAGTGACCTTCTTTCCCATGTCTTGTTGGGTGCCCCAGATCATACCCTCACTGAGGACAAACATGGCCACTAACTAGTCCCTGTATTACTCTCCCAGATGGTCCAGCTACTCAAAAGTGGAGACTTTGTCTTATTCGGCAGCTGCTCTGCAAATGGGCCAGGCACTTGTGAACAAGGCAGATGTGGTCTGTGCCCTCACAAAACTCAGTCTAGTGGAGAAGACAGGCATTGAGCCAATAAGTATACCATTGTGTCCAAGGAAATGTGCAGCACAGCCAGTCTGGAGGACAGGCAAAGGATTACCTAAGGACACATCGTAGAAACTAAGCCCTGAAGGATAAGTTGGAGATGGTGGGCAGAGATTGGGCCCACGTGTTTCGGTCACGTCTCTTAATTATCCTTTTAATCACTTCCTTTTATTCTCCGTGCATTTAGTTGTTGGGGAAATGGTTATCTGTTTTGAAGATTTCCCCATAGTTGAGATTTTGCTAATTGGGTCCTTGTGGTGTTGTTTAACACACTTCTTTATCCTGTCCCCCACATTTCTTGTAAACTCATTAGATGTTGAGTCATTTAGAGTGAAGCCAGGTGTGCTTAATAATTAGTGCATTGTACTTCCTGTTGCATCGCTTATGTGGTGTCTGGATGTCCCACTTTGAATGATGGTAACAGGCGTCAGTGTGTTCAGTTCTCACCCTGCACCATCCATTATCAAGTTCTGCATCCACATTCCACCTAATAGTTTGAGCATCTGTTGATAATCATTACCTAGAGCCATTCATTGGTGGTTACAAAATGATGACTTTCTGATTTTCTCCTTTCTTCATTTAAAGGCTGTAATTCTGTAAAGGATGACTTCCCTCATCCATTCTTTTATTACTCTCAAATAGTTTTTTATAGGAAATGCAAAATAAGTTTGATAACTTTATCAACTTTCAGAATATTAAATGTACCCTAGCAACCCCCAAAGGTAATAAGGGTGGTTGTTTAGTATTATTTTGAATGAATTATTGGATGTTTATATATTTAATGTTTCATCTATTGCAGTCATAATTTTTTATGCTCAAATTGTTATGTCTTCGGTCATTGGGAGCCCTTCAGGTTGGCTCCTGTTTCAGTATCGTTTGGTTTGGTTTGGTTTGGTTTTTGTGTGAATATGCTCTATTAAATATTCCCCAAAATTTTTATTGTGATCATTTTCAAACATAAAGTTGAAAGAATAGTTCCCAAATGCCTATATACCTTCCTTCTAGCTTCAACAGTCATTAGAATTTTGCCTTCTTTTTTGTTCTGTACATTTGTTCTGTATACTCTATACATTTACTTTGTTGTAGCATTTGAAGGGAAGTTGTAGAAATTGTGACACTTTGCCCCTAAATACTTAAGCATGTGTCTCCAAGAATGAGGATAAGAACAGTAATCATGTTTCTGTAAAGTCATCTAATGTCCAGGCCATGTTCCAGTTTCCCTAGCTGTTCCATGGATGTCTCTATAGCTATGTTTTTTTTTCCTGACCTGGATACAGTCCAGTCATCATGCATTGCAAGGGATTGTTAGGTCTCTTCAGTCTAAAGCAGTTCTCCTACCTTCTTGCCCCTGTGACATTTACTTTCCTTAATTTTTTGTCTTTTAATACTTTGTTACATTCTGAATTTATTTATCTATTTCCTCTTGGTATCATTGAATTTGAACTTTATCCCCTGGAGCTCCTGTAATCTGGAAGTTAGATCTAGAAAGGAGTGAATGAGATGAGATACAGGTTCAACATATTTGGCAAGAGTTCTCTCATAGATGATGGTGCCCAGGAATCTGAAAGTTTTCCTCTTTCTGTCATGTGGGATGTTCTAGGCCTGTTTTCTTATTTCCTGCCCTACACCTGGAATCAGTTGTTTCCCCTACGGAGCCCTAGTTGCTTTTGGTAGCAATGATAAAGAGAGTCCACAGTCTTGATTTATTAAACATTTTTTTAAGTTTGGAGTGTATTTTAAAAATACACTCTGGTCACAGTGAGTTGAATAGATTAGATAGGTAAAGGGCAAAAGTGTGTGTTGGGAGGCTGCTGTGGAACTGTGGGGAGGGGTAGTGGCTTGCTCAGGGGCAGCAGCAGAGGTGGATACACTGGAGAAGAGGCCAGATCATCATAAGTAAGAGGAGGAAGGAATGAGGAGAGTCAAGGGTTGCTGTGGGTTACAGCATGAGGAAGTGGGTAAGTAGCAGCAGCATCTGTGGAAATAAGGATGGGACCCAGCAGTGAGTTCAGGGTTAGAGTTGCTCAGAGTTTCAGGTAGGCCATCCAGGTAGGAAGTTTGTGAGCAACTAGGTCTGTGGGCCTGGAGCACGGGAAAGAGTTCTCTCTCAACTTTGTCCCTGGACACAGTGCCGTACTTTTTTTTCTTAGTTGACTCTGTTGCACTAGTCTTTTGTCAGCAATTATCATTAATATATATTTTTAATGTTTTCTCTCTGTAGGTCTCGCTCTCGTAGCAGACATTCTCGTAAGAGCAGAAGCCGAAGCGGCAGCAGCAAAAGCAGTCATTCTAAGAGTAGATCTCGGTCCAGGTAGGTCTTCTTTGGTATATAAGTGGAGGGGGTGAGTAGGAAACACCCATACCATATGCCACGTTGATTTTAATCATGTTACCAGTCTTATCTCACCTCATATCTGGCCTGGAATCATGGGGGTTCAGAAAGCAGTCATTGGCCATGTATTATATTGTGGGGCAAAGCTCCACGTCCCTCTGGCCTTTCCATCTGATGATTAGCATCAAGTGTGACGTTGCTTGTAACTTCAACATCACTGTCTTCTTAGGTCGGGCTCCCATTCCCGGAGTAAGAGCCGCAGCCGCAGCCAGAGTCGCAGCCGGAGCAAGAAGGAGAAAAGCCGCAGCCCCAGCAAGGATGACAAGAGTCGCAGCCGGAGCCGCAGTGCAGACAAGCGCCGCAGCAAGAGTAAAGACCAAGCTGAAGAGAAGATTCAGAACAATGACAACACTGGAAAGTCCAAGAGCAGGAGTCCTAGTCGTCATAAAAGCAAGAGTAAAAGCCGAAGCAGGAGTAAAGAGAGGAGAGTGGAGGAGGAGAAGCCCGGGAGCAGGAGCAGGAGCAAAGAGAAGAGCCGGAGTCAGGAGAAAGGCCTCCGCAGGAGCAGGAGCAAGGGAGGCAGCAGGAGCCGCAGCCGGAGTCGTAGCAAAAGCAAGGACAAGAGGAAGGGGAGGAAGAGAAGCCGGGAGGAGAGCCGCAGTCGCAGCCGCAGCCGCAGCCGCAGTAAGAGCAAGAGAAGCAGAAAACGCAGCAGCAAGCGAGACAGCAAGTCAGGCAGCAGCGAGAAGAAGAAGAGGGAAGACGCTGAGCACTCCCGGTCCAGATCTCGGTCCCGCTCGGCTTCAAAGGAGCGGGAACGTCCCAAGCCTGAGTCCGGCCAGAGGGAAGGCGGAGGGGAGAGCAAAGATGCTGGCACCAATCAGGAGACCCGGTCCCGGTCAAGGTCCAATTCCAAATCAAAACCAAACCTTCCGTCAGAATCACGCTCCAGGTCAAAGTCTGCTTCAAAAACCCGATCTCGGTCCAAGTCTAGATCCAGGTCTGCATCCAGATCACCTTCCCGGTCTCGATCTAGATCCCACTCAAGATCCTAACTGGCTACGACCACAGCTGGAACTACCCGAGAAGTTTTGTACATGTTTGGTAGCCGTAGCACAAGTGATTGAAGTAGAACATATGTCACTGCTGTACATTTTTAACTCCCCTAATGGTGTGTCTACAATTGTTAAATCTAAGTGCTTCCTCTCAGTAAAGCCTCCTGGCGCCAGGCCTTCCTGCTCGACTGAAAACAATCTCTTTGAAAACCCCTTTCCTCATGGTCCACAGTAGAATATCCAAAATGCCTTGGCTTTCAGGCCTGGCCTTTCTTACAGGGAGCTCAGTACCTGAATGGGTCTAAGGCTGGAATGATGACATAGGTAGGTATGGTGAGTTCAACCATTTTTGCCCTTGAATTGACTCCCTTTGATGTATGCCATTTAGTGAAAGTGCTAAGTCTTAAGTTTCCTACCACTTTGGTTTCATATTTTTGGACTTAACAAAGTTGTGAATAGCACAGTCAAGGAAAATTGATACCTGCAGTAACCCATAGGAAATAAACTATAGAGTTCCATATTCTGGTATTGTGATTATATTGTTTTATATTAAAAAAGAAAAAAGAATTTTTTTTAATTTTATTTTTCCCCGTCTTGCAAAGTATAGTGACCCCTGTTTCCATTAAATTTGAATAAAGACTATTTTTGCTTGACAAAATTTCATGGTGCTTGAATCAAAGTTGCATTTCCTAATCTCTCTTGATAACTCTTTTCGTAGCCTAAAAACTTCAGTGTATAATGGGTCTTTGGTTTCTTAAGATCATGGGTAGGGAGCCAACACTTTTTCCTAAAGGATTTTTCTCATCCAACAGAATAAAGGAATTAGTTTCTCGGGAATTTATAGTCCTTCCTCTCTTAAGAAGCATATGGCCAAGCTGATGAGAAATGAATCAGTTTGGGAACTTGGAGCATCACCAGATGAGTTCTTCATGAACATAACTTCCTTCTGCACTGTTTGAACTAATGGCCATGAATCTGAAGTAGCATGCCTCATCACCTTAGGATTTGGACTAATCAGAAACCAGGAAGAGAAACTGCTGGATTAGCTTCATCCCTCATTCTCTGCATTACCTGTCTGGCCCAGCTCTGTAGGAAGTACCAGAGATACAGTGATTCCAATCTGGTCTCCATCCTTGGACTGTTGAGAAGCCAGAGGCCCTCTGTCACAAGCTTGAGAGGAGAGACAGCCACTTTTCAGACTGCTGCCTGTGAATGTACGAGAGGCTGTTCCTAGATTTAAAATTCTGTCCTGTCGCCTTCTATAGATCATACCCTGTAGGACACACTGGGATGCCAAATCCAGAGTGTTTCTTGTTCTCTTGGAGTTTGTGATCTGGTTGCAAATGATAGCACCACTAGGATAAAGTGAGAATTTAGAAAAGGGAACTGTAACTTCATCAGAGTTCAGAGACGTCTTGGAGGCATCAGCACTTAGACTGCATCTTTGGAGATGTGGGGGTGAAGGCATTCCTGTAGAAAAACCTGTGAGCAGCGCACCGTAAAATTGGGAAAGCATAGAACAGGGTGCCCAGCAAACCTGGAGTTTGATAATGGGGGTAAAAGGAGCAAGTTTGGCTGGATGTATTGGGTCACAGAGGGCTTTATATATCGGGAAGAGGGATTTGGCCTTTGTCCTGTGCTTGTTGGGGGAATATTTGAACAGGAGGATGCGGGTAGAGCTGTGCTGCAGGAAGACCTAAGAGATCAGTCGCAGGGAACCCAGCGCTGTAGGGAGTGCAGTAGTTGCAGATGCTGTGGGGCCTAAACAAAGGCAGTGACCACAGGGAGCAGAAGGAAAGATCAGCCTGTGACCTGTAAAAAGGAGCTGTCAGAGGCCATCCAAGAAGGGGGCCTTTCTGAGGAATGAGGGGATGGAGGTGAGGGAGGCGGTTTGGGAACAATTTCAGGAACACACCGGGCAGCCAGACCCAGGAACCTGCACCTCCCCAGGGCTTCCCTCCATTCTTGTGTCGTGATAAGGTGATGGCTCCAACCAGTGGAATTCCCACTGCCTCAGATTTGTGTGGTCTCCTGTAGGTGACAAGAATTAAACATTCCCTGATTTTATCCATGTAAGGAGGGGGACAGTTCTTTGGGCATTTTTTTCACTCACAAGTTGAAACTTTTGAAAGATTGAGCTTAACTTCACTAAAGCGTAGCAACTATTTTCCAAATTCTCTTCCAAGCTTTGTTCCTATTCATTCATATTCTAGACACAGTTATGTCATTTTTCATAACTTAATAAATTGTCATGTAATGTTATGAGTGTTGGAAAGTTCTCACTTAGATGTTTAAAGCACATTCTAACCAGTGAATTTATTAGCACATGTGATCCTTAAGTATAACAATTTGGAAATTCCATGTATGTATACATAGAAGAGATGTTTTTCCCAGCAATTTTTAAATCCATTTATACTTGGATTCTGAAAAGGAAGAGGTAAAAATTAAATTAAGAGAATGATTTGGAAACTCGGTTGAGTTCCAAACCTGCACCAGAGATTAGTGCCTTCATGCACATTTTTCATCTTGTTCTCACACCGCCCTCGGATCAGTATTGTTAGGTTCAATTGCAGGCGAAGAGGCTGCTGCGCAGTGTCTACCCACCCCCAACAGCGGTAGCTTAATACGAGTGCCTTCTACAGCCAAGCTCTGTTCTGTGGCACTGGAAATAGCACATGAAAGCGACCCACAGAGCCTTGGCCCATGATGGTATCTGTACTGAGTGCCTTCAGTGTTCACTGGCTAGCAAATCTGCAAGGAACTCGCCTGCCACCCTTTAGTAATAGGTGGTTACTAAATGCAGTGCTTGTTGTACCTGCACTATTGTCCCTTGACAATAAATTGAGCCAGAGGATGGCAATAAATTTTGGGTCTAAAATTTGGTTAGCCTCAACCCAATGGAAGAAAGACAGGAAGCTGAAAGAGGAAGGGCCTAAGTTTGATTTATTTGCCTACCTATATTTGCTATGCGCTAGGTGCTTTTATGTGCTTTATTGTTTTAAAAGGTGAAGACAGCCCAGCTGGCATGGTTCAGTGGTTGAGTATTGATCTATGATCCAGGAGATTATTGTTTGATTTCCAGTCAGGGCACATGCTCAGGATTTGGGCTCAATCCCCAGTGGGAGGCATGCAGGAGATAGCCCATCAATGACTCATTTACATTTCTCTTTCCCTTCCTCTCTCTGAAATCAATAAAGACCAAAAAAAAGTTGAAGACAAACTCAGATGAAGTGTTCTGTCCAGAGTAGCACAGCTAGTGACAAATCTCAGGTTAATTTCTAGATTTCTCTGGTTCTGCTTTGTAAAATTTCATCATTTATGATAGTTATAGGGAAGATGTTTGCTTGAAATCACATAGGATTTTTTTAACGTCTTTTTAATATATGTTTTTCATAAATATGTCTTTATTGATTTCAGAGAGGAAGGAAAGAGAAACATCAATGATGAGAAAGTCGTTGGTCATCTGTCTGTCTCCTGCACGCCCTCACTGGGGATGGAGCCTGCAACCCAGGGAATGTGCCCTGACTGGGAATCCAACTGCAATCGGGATCATAGGTTGATGCTCAACTGCTGAACCACACTCACATAGAATTTTTAAACTCAGGTTCAAGTCAAGCAGGGTTTCCACAAGATTGAATCTACTTTCCTTAAGCAACAATTTAAGTGGCTACAGGACAGTGGCACTAGCCCACTGCTGTGAATGAATTTTAGTTGCCCTGGCATTTGATGAACACTCAAAGGCCCGCTTGGACATACCCATTTTTCCAAGCCCAGGTCATCATTCCACATCCTAGGTGCCAAGGAGTGAAGAGAAGAAATATGGCACATTTTAGCTGCTTCATTGGGAAACAGTGCATCAGTGCCCACAAAAAACACTCAATAGGGAATTTTCCAAAATGGAAGCAGCTGAAGAAATACAAAGGTGCACTACAATTTGCCTCTGGGTGCTCAAAATCCACACATACCCTTCCATCCATACTTAGCCTTCCTCCTCTCCCTCCCAAAAAAAGAGTGGAAGGCAAAATAGGAACAAAGAACAAGGGTAGCCCGGCCAGGCGTGGCTCAGAGGTTGAGCGTTAACCTATGAGCCAGGAGGTTGGGGTTTGATCCCTGATCAGGGCACATGCCCAGGTTGCAAGCATCCCCAGTAGGGGGCATGCAGGAGGCAGCCAATCAGTGACTCCCGTCCTCTCTGAAATCAAAAACGGAGGGAAAAAAGAACAAGGGTAATGATAGAAAATAGTAACAAATGTAGATACTAAACTCAGTAATCATTTCAAATGTCAATTATGTAGATGACTTATCAGTGGATTAAAAAACAAGACCCAGCTATATGTTGTCTAAAGAAACCCTTTTTATTTTTTTAATCTTCACCAAGGATATCTTTTCCATTGCTTTTCAGAGAGAGTGGAAGGAGGAGAGAAACATCAGTGTGAGAGAGACACATCAATGGCTTGCCTCCCACCCC